CATAGTTTCTATCATCATCTGAATTCTCAAGATTTGATTCTCGTCTGTTCTGGTTTCTGATTTTGTGTGAATGTTTCATTTGATTTACTTGAATGAATTTTTTTTTGATCATTTAAGAAAATAGCAATCAAAAATTTCGTTCGTTCGTTCACTATGTTGGTCATCACATCACAAGCGGATTAAGAAAAATTGGGTTTTTTCCAGCCGAAAAAATTTCATTGACAAATTCTTTCCTTTTTTTGAAGAAAAAAGGATTATCATTCTGTTTTTTGATGATGATGACAGCTGCTTTAGGAGAAAAATGAGCAAAAATCCTAAAACGAAAAAAATTCGCAACGAATTGACTTTTGACAGTTTGTTGAATGATGAAAAAAAAAATCAATTTTCCTAGATTGAAAAACATACATAGATTAAACGTCATAAGATTAGATAAACTTTTTTCTCGCACTTCTTCATTGATAATGGTGTTATGATGATAATGTCCTGCCATCATTTTAAAAACTTGATTCACACGCGGGTTTTCTGGCGTGAAAAGCACAAATTAACCCTACAATTAACCTTTTTTTTGATTAATATATAATTATCATCATACAATGATGGTCATTTTGTCATTTAAAATCTAGAAATTTTCGGATTTTTCAAAAATTCATTGAAAAATTTTTCAATGAAAAAAAAAATCTATATTTGTGGGGGGAAAAACCAGAGAAAAACACTAGAAACTATATGCTTATGATGATTATTGCACATATATCCACATGAAAAAAATATGTAAATTTTTTGTTTCGGTAAATATTTTTCTTCCACACTAAACACACACCGACATGACAAATGCAATGTTTTTATTCCATGTTATGATTTATCCAACAAGAAAAAATATGGCGCCATATTTTTAAAACAATATTTTGATTAATTGTTTTATTATGTAAATCAAATTTGAATATTTCTTTCCTTTCTTCGGTCGACAAAATTGAAATTGAGTATTTTTGAATCACAAGTTCAATGGATTTTTTTTGGTGGAGTTTGTTTTTTGTAAAAAATCCATCTTTTCCTCCACCTTTTCTCTCTCTCTCCCTCCCTTCTCTGCCTCAATCACTGAACTTTATCATTTCAAAATCGTCATCGTTGATAAGTTTGATACATGTATTCGGTATTGTCGAATTAGTTTTGGTTTTTGGCTACAATCGACAACAACAACAACAACAACGAATGATTATGACATTTTTCTGTAGTTTTTGGTTGATATTTAAAATGGATTCGGTATGGTTATTCAGGAAAAAAAAAGAAGATGCTTTGTTGTTGTTGTTTTCATTCCATAAAATTAGTTGAAATGAACTATTTTATTCTGGAATCCATATGGAACATCAAACAAAATGAATGAATGAATTTAGATCTAGTAGTAAAACTATAAACATTGAAATGTTTTTTGTTCCTTCTTATCATTTTTGGCTTTATCATTGTTCCAATGTTTTTTCCCCATGGTTTCTGTGATTCTCTATCTATTCTGGTGGGCAAGTTGTGAAAGAAAAATCATTTTTCATATTCACACATATATTCGGTGGATATATTTTCATAAAAATGTTCTTTCTGCTGCTGATGCTTCTGATGATGATGAACTCTCATTGTTGTTGAATTCAAAAATGGTGAATCCAAAAAATGAGATCCAAATTTGTAGATAATGTTTGTGTGTGTGTGTGACAATGTTCACTGACCATATTTATTTTCTCCTGAAACAAACAAATGATGGAACCGAGCAGAAAAATAAGGCCATTTATCATTTTTTCCAAATGATAAATGTTGTTTCAAAAAAAAGAAAAGATTTTGCACGAGCAAAAAGACAGATTTATTATAGACAACAACAACGAGCAATACGACCATTAAATGACCACGTGCAGATAGAAAATTTCAGAAATTTTTTAGTTCAGTTTAACACTGTGTGCTCTATACTATGTTGTTTTTGTTGTTGTTGATTATCATCATTGCTTTTGATTTTTTGTCGTTTGTT